TGGTTGAGGGGTTAGAATAAAAGTGGTAAAGTGGGTCGGGCGCGGTGGCTCACGCCTGTAATCCTGGCTCTCTGGGAGGCCGAGGCGGGCGGATTGTTTGAGCTCAGCAGTTCGAAACCAGCCTGAGCAAGAACGAGACCCTGTCTCTACTAAAAATAGAAAGAAATTAATTGGACAACTAAAAATATACAGAAAAAAAAAATTAGCCTGGCATGGTGGCGCATGCCTGTAGTCCCAGCTACTCGGGAGGCTGAGGCAGGAGGATCGCTTGAGCCCAGGAGTTTGAGGTTGCTGTGAGCTAGGATGACGCCACGGCACTCTAGCCCGGGCAACACAGTGAGACTCTGTCTCAAAAAAAAAAAAAAGTGGTAAAGTGGCGTGAAAGGGGGCATTTGTTGTGCTTTGAGAGAGGCCTATCTTGCAGTGATAATTTTGAGATGGAGCAAGACCCTAAGAGGGAGGCAATTCCAAGGAGGATGCTGGGAAAACTTGTTTGTTCATGAACCTGGAATTGGGTGCATGTTGGAGGGGATCATTACAAATTGAGCTGTTGATTATCATGCAAAATCTCAAGTGTAGGGTTACTGCTGAATGGGGAGGGACAAACCCGTTCCCCAGGCTTTGGGCCTGGTGACATGGCTGAAGCATTCCTCCCCCACTGAAGCCTTTAGTATGTGGGTAGCCTTCTCCCCTCACCCCCCACCTCTTTGTTTTTGATGCTAGTAGGGAGAGTAAGGACAGGAGTGGTTAGTTAAGTTCCCTTTATCAAACTCCTCATTGGGTACTTTTGGTGATGGACTGAGACTGCTTGACCCTGTATTTTTATTTTTTTGTGGATGTCCAAATATTACTATATACCCCTCTCACCTATACCCCAGTCCCCTAGACTTGTGTAGTCAGTTTCGAAGTGTGTGGTTTGTGTTCATCTCACCCTTATCTGGAGCAGGAGCTGAGACCTTGCCACATGTCCTTTGCATCCTTTAAACCTTAAAGTTTAATTAATAATAATAATAATAAGAGGCAATAAGCAAGTTAGATATAATAACTGCAGAGAGAATTAGTGAACAAGAAGGTAAATCTGAGAACATTCCCCAGAAAGTAGCAGAGAGAAAGAAATGGAAAAGAAATTTTAAAACCAAAAAAAAAAAAGAGTGGAAGATGGGAGGCAGCAGTATTCAGACAGACAACAGTTGAGAATTTTCCTGATTCGAGGATGAATACTTGAAGCTTATCGCTAAAAAGAACAATTAGTTCCATTATGTATAAATAAAACTAAATGCACAGAGCACAATAGAAACAAGGAGTCTTCAGAGCAACCAGGGAGAAAACACATAGCCTACAAAGGGAAGGGCATTTATACTGACGGCCAGAACAGCATGAAACAATAATATCTTGACAGTGCTGAAAGAAAAACCAACCTAGAATTCTACATCCATCTAAACTATCATTCAAGAATTATGATGAAATAAACATTTCAGAAAACCTAGGATTCTACCAATAAAATGGAAGTTCACTGGTAGACTTTTGAAAAATATATTTCAAAAAAGACGAAAGTTAAATCCAAAGAAGGGAGTAAGGAGCAAAATGGAATGGTGAACAAAGATACAGTTATGTGCCCCCATGTTTTGTTCAAAGCTGGACCACATGTGTGGCAGTGATCCTATAAGATTGTAATACCATATTTTTACTGTACCTTTTCTGTGTTTAGATATGTTTAGGTACACAAATAATTACCATTGTGTTACTATTTCTTTACACTATTCAGTATAGTAACGTGCTAAGATTGTAACTTAGAAGCAATAGGCTATACCATGTAGCCTAGGTGTGTAGTAGGCTATACCATCTAGGTTTGTTGTAAGTACACTCAGTGATGTTCACACAATGACAAAATGGCCTAAGAATGCATTTTTCAGAATGTATCCCTGTCATCAGGTGACATATGACTGTATAAGTAAGCATGTACTATTTAAGTAATAATCATAAAAGTGACTACCTAAGGAGTAATAAGATGAAACTACTAAAATATTAGAGGAAAGAAAGCATAAAATGGGAGGGGTGATTGGAGTAGCGATTTTTATGTTATGCAAATTATACTTCAGTAAAGTTGTTTAAAATTATTATATGCTATTCAGGGAAAAAAGATGGTTAGAGAACAGAACGTACTCTCTCAATATTATTCCAAGTAATATGCGATTAATTAAAACCCTTGATAATATTCTGACAGTGTTAATTATTTTATGCTGTAATTTCTTCATTATAAAAATAAACTCTTCTCATTGGAAAAAAACATAGCCAAGGTGATTTCAAAGATTAAGTTGGAGAGGATGTTCCAGGAAGTTGTTCCACCAGGGATGAATTATTTTAAAGCTATGGTAATGAAGAAAGTGTGGTGTTAGTGCAGTAATAGCAGGAATAGATAACCATTTGAATAGAATGTAGAATCCAGAAATAGTATTACACTTACGTGGAAAATTGATACATGACAGAGGTGAGGAAAAGATAGATTGTTCACGATATGGTATTAGGAATATCGGTTGATGATACAAAAAAAAATGTAGCAGCCAATCCCCTCTCTTATTTAACCAAATAAATTCTTCACCAAATAAATTACCCAAATGTGGCAAACAAAACAAATTTATGTTTTAAAAAGGAAAAGAAGAAAGAAAAATTATGGCCTCTGTGTTTAGAAGGATTACTGAAGACACAAAACCCACCTACCACAGAATAAAAGATAGATAGATTGAACTATAGTGAAATAAATCTGTGAATCAAAAGACATCATAAGTAAGGCAAAAATACAAATCACAAATTGAGAAAAGATATCTGTAACTCAGAAAACCAATTAAGGTTTAGTATCCAGAATAAATGACAAACTCCTACAAATCAGCTAATGATCAGGCAGCTCACAGAAGGGCAATTTCAAGTAGTCTGCAAAGAAACCAGAAAAGGTTGCCCAAACTTACTGTTGACTCTAAAATAGTAAATTAAGCATCAGGATATGATTTTATGGCCATGAAATTGGCAAAAAAAATTAATATCTGATACTGCCAAGTGCTGTTGAGCATGTGGAGCAATGGTAAGTTTCATATAATGTTAGTAGGAGGGCGTCTTAATCTGTTTGGCCTACTGTAACAAAGTACCATCAACCAAGTAGTTTATAAACAACAGAAATTTATTTCTCCCTGTTCTGGAGGCTGGAAAGTCCAAGTTCAAGGCACCAACAGATGCAGCCTCCAGTGAGAGCTCGCACTCTGGGTCATAGATGACACCTTCTAGCTTTGTCTGCATGTGTAGGGGGTTGGCAAACAAACTCCCTTGGGTCTCTTGTAATCTAATTTCATATACAAAGACTGCTGCCTTCATGCCCCTAATCACTTCCCCAAAGACCCCACCTCCTAATACCATCATCTTGGGGATTAGGATTTCAATGTAAATTTGGAGGTGGAGGACTCATTCAGACTATGGTAAAAATACATAGAATTACAATGGAAACTAATTATATTGAAATAGTTATGAAAAAACTTTAAAATTTGTGATATAGCATGCGTTACTCGTGTATACTAACTAATAAGATCTAGTGGAAGGTTTAATAGCTACTGTAGTTTCAAAGAAATGATTAGTATAAATGATATTCTGAGGTACTGCAACCACTTGTTATGTGATATGAAAACTAAAAATCACAGATACTGCTGAATGCTATTAGATGTGTACAGTCATAATTGAAGGGAACGTTAAATTTCAATTTGAAGTTAATGAAAAATAAAGATTTATTTTCACACAAGTTCATAAACCTACCTTAAAGGAGTTTAAGGACCCAAAGTTGAGAAGCAGTGTCTTAAAGATACTTTTACACATATGCCCAGGGAGATTAACATCACCACACTATTGTAGTGGCAAAAATGGAAAACAGCCTAAAGATTCCTCAGTAATAGATTATATATATTATGATATATTCAGGCAATGGAAAACCACACAACAGTGAAAACAAGTGAAGCCAGGTTATAATAATCCAGTGGATATTTTATTGTATGTAAGATATCTTACTGTCTCTTTGTATACTATCCTAAGTGATCTCAAACAATGTTTAGTTTAAAAAGCAAGCTTCTAAAGAATACTCTTTAACATCATTTTATGAAATTTTAACATTCATACAAAGAGTAAAGGCTCATATGAGAATGATGCGTCCGAATTCAGGGTTGGTAGTTATTCAAGGGTAAGGAGTAGGAATGAGGAAGGCAACACGGAGGGGTTTAAATTATATCTATAATGTTTAATTAACGATATGATAGATATATTACTTATTGTATGCCTGGAAAATAGGTTTACATGCTTGGACAGAATATTAATATAATATAGTTTCAGTTGTAATTTGCATAACAATTCGGGGTTTGTATGTATGGGACATTGTGGAGGGAAGAATAACAGATTGAGTGCTCCCCCCAAATCATCTCAGATAAGAAGTGAATTAACCTATCAAGTTCCCAGCATTTTAAACATGTGATTGATTAAAGGATACCTATTAGATTACTTAATTCTCATAACAATCCTGTGAGGTGATGGTAATATATTCATAAAGGAAATTTTAATCAATGCAAAGATAGAATGCAAACTGGAATTTATATTCTGATCTTTCTGCCTCCAAAATCCATGTTCATTCCATGACATTAAATTGCATCTGTAGCAATTAATGATTTATTTTGGAAGTGGCAAGGTAACTGCACCTTACAAAATGAGACTATATCTGAGGTACACATTAACAATAAAGATACTAAAATAATCTCAAGCATGACTTCATAATTCAAAATTTTCTTAAACACACTTTACCCTGTTCTCATTCTTAATTAAGATAGGCTGATAAACTGTCACTAGTAACTTTAGTGGTCCCCGTTTATTTTAATCCCTTTGATTATGTTTTAACACATGTTTAGCGTCTAGGTTTAATGGCATGACTTGGTGTTTTATTGTTTTAAACCACGTTCTGTTTTGGTTTTTGATTTCAGGATCGAAAGTTAACAAAGTCTGAGAGGCAGAGATTTAAAGAAGAGGCTGAAATGTTAAAGGGTCTTCAGCATCCCAATATCGTTCGATTCTATGATTCCTGGGAATCCACAGTAAAAGGAAAGAAGTGCATTGTTTTGGTGACTGAACTTATGACATCTGGAACACTTAAAACGTAAGTCCATCAATATTATAAAAGCTGAGTAAGAAGTATGAGAGAATTTGATTTTTGTAATTTCAGGTCTACCAGTTCTATTGCCCAGCCTACTAAGGATGGGACAGTTCTTCCAACTGTTATTAGCATATTTTCTTGCCCACAGAGTCCTCTGCTGTATACAGTGATTTGGTAATTATTTATTACTAAGTATTGAAATGAGAAGTTATTGCAGAATATTTAGTTATTTTAAGTCATGCTGATAGGTGTTTTTAAAATTGAGTGGCTGAGGGATCAGAAATCAAATGTCAAGGTAGCCCTCTAGTGGTTAAAATGAGATTACAGTTTATTGAGAAATGTTACTCATTTATTTTATCACTTGTATTATTTTTTGCTATATCTATACAACTTTTATATCAGATAAAATTGCATTATGACAGTTATCACTAAAAAGTTCATGTAGTTCTATTTCTTAAAACATCAAAATTGATCCCAAAAGTACTAGACCTATCATCCCTTTCAAACAAACAGGTAAAATACACAAATTCCCTGTTACCTATTATAAAGAGCTTTAGATAAGAGTTGGGAGTATGCCTTTGGAATCTCAGGTCTCTTAGAATATCTGTTTGTCCCCAGAGAGGAACCTGTTGTTAATTACATGTTATATGTTTTTTAATTGTGGAGGAATTGGATTTTTAAAAATTGTCTCTGTGTTATGTATTTATTCTTTATTACTTTTTTAAATGAATACTACTGAGCTGATTTCTCTCAGATCTTTGAAACATTCTTCTAGCTCCTGGATATAGTCACTTGCATGTACTCTTAAATGCTTAAGATTAGCATGTTGAAATGTCAACAGATAATTTCACTCCCACAAATCCCAGTTTCTCCACCCAACTTCTCCAACTCTGTTTATGGCAACGTCTTATTCCTAGTCATCCAGGCTTCTTGTTATTCATGTATGTTTGGGTAACATAGTAGGCCAAGCCCCCATGGAATGACTATTCCCCACCAACAAATTAAAATGTGGAACATAATAAAAGTTTTTCAGTATATATCCAAGCTTCAAAGAAAGTAAGGGTAACTAAGCAAAGAAGAGGTAACTCAAAGCTAAAAGAGACATGTATGCCTTGGCAATCTATCAGGGTTTCACACTGGATATAAGGCTTAAGGAGTGGATACTAGAGTTTTAATGTCCCTGCAAGGACAAAAGGCCTTAGAACTAGGTACAGAGGGGAGCTGCAGCTTAGCCTGTATCAAAACGCTGAATTATCCCTGAAAAGGGAGAACCTGGTGCCCCAGCCAGTGAAAGCTACACAGAATTTTGCACCTCTGCACAAGACTGTAGGTAAAAGGGAAGTAAGTCCCTATGAAAAATAGAAATTCCCATCTCCTTGTGTCTCCAAAGACTGTTCATGTTTTTTCTGTATTCTTTCATCTCATATGTAGCTGGCTTTATAATATAAATTTATACCACCTGCTTGGTGTAGGAATTACAAGCCAGGAACACACATCATAATTGATCCATAACTGAAAGAAAACTCCCAGGGACATTTGCATAGTTCATTAAGTCACAGTATCCAGGGGCAAAACAGTTTCCAAAGAAGATGACCTCACAAGTCACAAATCACACCAGTAAAGGTGAACAAACACAACCAGAAAATAGCACTGCAGCAATTGGTGGTACTATGGACAAGCCTGAGAGTGATTACAAAATAATTTTATACAAAGATGTCAGTAAAGATATATGTAAGTATATATAAGGTATATAAAGAGAAAAGGAGGAGGAATAAAAGCCGTAATGAAGGAATAGGACATCATCAAAAAAAGGACAGGCATAATTGAAAGGGATCTGAAGAACTTCTAGAAATAAGAACAAATCATTAAAATTAAAACTTCAATGCTTAGATTAAACAACAGACTAAATTGAATTGAAGAATAAATATGAAGAAATCAGAAAACAACAGAAAGCAGAAAATGACATAGAAAATATTAAAAGAGGATAAAATAAGGAGTGAGAAGACCTAATTAAATTTAATTATCTAAAAGGAAAGAATAGAATGAGGAAAAGCAACATTTAACATGAATCAGGAGGTGGGTGGTGCAAGATGGCTGAATAAACCCTCCAGTGAACATTCCTCCCCATGAACACCAAATTCAACAACTGTCCGCACAAGAAAGCACCTTCAGAAGAACCAGAAATCGAGTGATCACAGTACCTGGTCTTAACATTTTATCAGGGAAAGAGGCACTGAAGAGGGCAGGAAAGACTGTCTTGCATTGCCTGTGCCACCCCTCCAACCCCACCCAAGTGCTGTGCCTACACGGGCTGCGTGGGGAAAGAATCTGCGTGCCTGGGGAAGGGAGAGTGAAGTGATTGTGGGACTTTGTATTGGAACTCAGGGCTGCCCTGTCACAAGGAACACTACACAGGGCAGAATTCCGCCAGCACCCACAGAGGGAGCATTTAGATCAGCTGGACAAGAGTGGAATTCTCCGCCCCAGTGATAGAAACCTGAGTTCTGGCTAGTCCCACCACTAGCTAAAGAAAGTGGCCTGGGGCCTGGAATAAATTCATAAGGCAGTCAAGCCACAAAGACTGCAGTCCTTGGGCAAGTCCTGCAGCTATGCTGGCTCAGAGCGAGTGGATGTGGGGTGCACGTGACCCAGTGAGACACCAGCGGTTGTGGCTGGGTGCCTTTGTCACTCCTTCCCCAACTCCAGGCAGTGCAGCTTGAGGTGAGTCATCCTCTCTTTGGGGAAAGAAGAGTACAAAGGACTTTGTCTTGCAACTTGGGTAGTAGCTCAGCCACAATAGAGAACCAAGCAGACTCCTGAAGCCCTTGATTTCAGGCCCTAGTTCCTGGATAGCATTGCTAGACCCACGCTGGGCCAGAAGGGATCCTGCTTCCCTGAAAGGAAGGACCCAGCCTTGGCAAGATTCACTATGTACTGACTAAAGAGCCCTGGGGCTTTGAATAAATATCTGAGGTAGCCAGAGGGCAGTCACCATGGGCTTTGGGTGAGACTGAGCTGGCTTCAGGTGTAACCTGGCTTAGTCCCAGCTGTGGTGGCCATAAGGGAATACCCATGGCACTCCTCCCCCAACTCCAGTAGACCGGCATGGAGAGTGAGATAAGAGAGTGAGAGTCTTTGGTAATCCAGGGAATTCTTCTATATCTTGCCCAGGTCCACCAAGACAGTACCACCAGGACTCTGCAAAAGTCACCATGGTACTAGGCTTGGGGCACACCCAGTGCTGATGCGACTGTAGTGACCAAAGACTTAGATTATAACACTCAGTTCCCTTTGAATACCTGGAAAGCCTACTCAAGGACGGATTCAAACAAGTCTAGACTATGAAGATTAGAATAAATACTTAACTCTTGAGTGCCCAGACATCAGTGAACATCCACAAGCATCAAGAACATCCAGGAAAACATGACCTCACTCAACAAACTAAACAAGATACCAATTGACCAATCATGGAGTGATGGAGATATGTGACCTTTCAGACAAAGAATTCAAAATAGCTGTTCTAAAGAAGCTCAGTGAACTTCAAGACAACACAGAGAAGGAATTCAGAAGTCTATCGGAGACATTTAATGAAGAGATTAAGATAATAAAAATCAAGAAGAAATTCTGGAGCTGATTGACCAACTGAAAAATACATCAGAGTCTGTCTCTCAATAGTAGAATTGATTAAGAAGAATTGGCTTGAAGACAGTATTTGAAAATACACAGAAGTGAGAAAAGAAAAATGAACAAAAAAGAATGAATTATGTCTACAAGATCTAGAAAATAGCCTCAAAGGGGCAAATCTAAGAGTTACTGGCCTTAAAGAGGAGATAAAGATAGATCAGGGTAGAAAGTTTATTCAAAGAAATAACAAAATATTCCTTAATAGACCTTAATATCCTATCAAAATAACAACTTTTTAAGAGATAGATAGTATAAAAAGATAGAAATGGAAACAAACAAACAAAAAACTCAAAAAGCAGGGACCGGGAAATGGAGTTAAAATGTAGAGTTTCTTTTAGAATTCTCTTTGCTTGCTTGATTGTTGTAAGCAAAATTAAGTTGTTAGCTGTTTAAAATATTTAGTTATAATTTTTTTTGCAAGTCTTATAGTAATCTCAAATCAAAAAACCTACAACAGATACACAGAAAAATGAAAAGCAAGAGATTAAAATACACTACCAGAGAAAATCACATTTATACAACAGAAGACAGGAAGGAAGGGAGGACCAAAACCAACCAGAAATCAAATAACAACATGGCGGTAGTAAGTTCTTACCTATCAGTAACAACATTGAATGTAAATGGAGTAAACTCTCCAATCAAAAGACAGAGTGGCTAAATGGATACAATAAACAAGATCCAACTTTATTTTGTTTACAAGAAACCCATGTCACCTATAAAGACACACATAAAATAAAAGAACAGAAAAAGATACTTCATAGAAACAGAAACCAAAAAAGAGCAGGAGTGGCTATATTTCTATCAGATAAAAAAATTTCAAGATAAAAACTATAAAAAGAGACCAAGAAGATACATTATATAATGACAAAGTGGTCAGTTCAGCAAGAGACTATGATATCCTCTAAATATATATGCACCCAACACTTGAGCACCCAGATACAGAAAGCAAGTATTATCAGCACTAAAAAGAGAAATAGAAACCAATAAAATAGTAGTTGGAGACTTCAACACCCCACTTTCAGCATTGGATACATAATTCAGACAGAAAATCAACATTGGACTTAATCTGCACTATAGACCAAATGGACCTAGATATAGGAAATAGATATTTACAGAACGTTTATTCCAACAGCTGCAGAATACATGTTCTTCTCCTCAGCTCATGGATCATTCTCAATGATAGACCATATATTAGGCCACAAAACAAGGCTTAAAAAATTAAAAATACTGAAATCATATCAAGTATTTTTTCTGACCACAATGGAATAAAACTAGAAATCAATAACGAGAAATATTGGAAACTATACAAACACACGGAA